TAACGAAACGGTTTGGGGCTAAACAGCGCTTGGGACGAAGCAGCGTTATGGACGAAACTGTAAATGGGGCGAAAAAGCGTTGGAACGAAACGACGTCGGGACAGAACGAAACGACACTGGGACTAAACAGTGTTGATACGAAACGACACTGGGATGAAATAGCGTTGCGGCACGGAATGACAATCTAACGAAATGGCGTTGGTATGAAACGAAACTGGGATGAGACGTCATTCCCCCTGCCAATGGTTATTATTGTACCAATGATGTTATTGTTCCAGTCTCTGCCTTGACATAGGTCACCCTTTGTTTGTTGTCAGTACATAGGGGAAAGTTGTATAAAGCATTCCCCCCCCCGCAATACCACCAATGCGCAGTCTCCGAACAAGGTCGGCCAACATTTTCTGAATTCACACAACCAACTCCCAAAATGTCGCGAGGTCGCGCCGCCGATTACCACCCCGATTATCGTCGCGACTACAACCATGATTACGACAACCCCGTTATGGCCAGCTTTTCGGAGTTCACCGAGGATATCTACCCGTCTCGACCACCGCAAAAACCCGCCCACGCTATGGTTATACAGGACGATGGGGCTAGTACTCGCCCACCCTCCACAACGCCGTCCCTGCGGTCAGCCGGGTTGCATTCGACAAACGTCAAGTTCGAAGAGCCGAGGGGATTTTTTATATCATACTGTCGGTTGATTTGGTTAGTAGTCGTTCTTGTTCTGTTAACCGTAATAGTTGGGCTGCTAGCAGGCTTGATCCGCCCGAACGAAGAACCGGTCATGGTGGTGTCGGCTGAGGAAACTCAGACGACACTGGACCCCAGCGTGGTGTACCACCGACCCCAACTCCCGCGGACACTCATTCCGCAGCGTTACGACCTGAACTTAAGACTTGACCCGGAGAGCCGGGAATTCACGGGCTCGGTCGCTATCACTGTCAAGTGCGAGGAGGCTACCAACTACGTGGTTCTACACGCACTGGAGTTGAGCATCGACCCATATACAGTCACGGTGCGGAACAAACAAACAAACAATAGAGTGAGAATGAAAACACAGTTTTGGTTTGCCAGGCATCAGTATTACGTCATTGAGATGGACGCGGATATGACGTTAGATGAAGAATACGTCATCAGTTTCAGCGAATTCAAGGGTGAACTGCGCAATGATCTGATGGGACTCTATCAAAGCGATTACATCGATGCGAGCGGCGAAAGTCGGTGAGTTGACCTATCGCTAACAATGTCCATGAATAGTATTTTATAACCAAAGAATTCTTCGTATTCTGAAATATATTTGTTTATATCGTAAGTCTTCTTTGTAGACACCAGTCAATCATGTCAAAACCACCTGTTGCCTAGTGACATTCGGTGCGACCACGTCACGTGACGTCGAACTCAAATGATCATGCTTGACTGCTCTTACATAAAAAAATAATCTCAATGCGCATGTCACGAAACGAAAAACAAATACAATCCTACAAACTAAAGTTAAAAATCCATTAGGTAAATTAAATTTAAAATTTCACCATTATAATAATTGTACTTAAGAGTAGGAATATTTTATATTTCGATAATATTGAATCTGAAATGTTCAAAAAATAATAGAGTAGGTTCAGTACGACGACT